TGAAAAGCAGAATCAAAATCTAACTAATCAATCACTTGTCTTTGATCATCTTTTAGAGGAAATTTGTGGCCCAAGAATACTTTTTTTTCCCCAGGAGGTGGAACAGAAACTTTTGCACGGGAACTTCCAGATGGCTCCTGGAGCCCTGCACGGTTTCAAATGGTTCACATCAGCGGCTGATTCAGACATGACGTTGACCCTGGCAAGGATCGTGGGCCCTGATGGGCAGATAAAACAGGTCAGATTCCCAGGCCAACCCAAGGAATATGAAACAGCAGCTTGCAAGTAGTTGTGTGTAATGTCCGAATTCCAGCTCGGTTTATTTGGTCTGACGCTATCACCTTTTGTGTGGCAGGGCTCCAGAGGCCTCTCTCTCTTCTACCTGAAAACATATGAGGATGGGAAGCTGAACGGCATAAAAATAGAGAGGCTGAAAGAGAAGATGGGCACGAGGCCGTTGCCAACTGCAGAGCTGTTGCTGGATGGAGCTCGAGCACACCTGGTAGGAACCACGGAGGAAAGCATTTCCTCCATTCAGTACATTGAGAGGAGCACAGAGAGTGCAGTCGGGCAGGGAGGGCTGGTAATTTTGAAAGGAGAGAATCAGCAAGATGGCGGGGATGACTTAGACCAGTGTTTTCCGGCTTGGCCATTTTGGAATATGTAGACTTCAGTTCCCAGAATTCCCCAGCTAGCATATGGATTTATACCAGCAAGTTCAAGTGTAGTCTTAAAAACGATTACAGATTGAAGCATTCATAACGTAAGAGTTGCTCAGGCTCTGCATGAACACTTCTTTGGAGTGGAAAACTTACACAAGGGAAGATCCTCACCTCTAGTGTCTAGTGCAGGTTATTTGAAAAGATCAGATTACTAAGTAAATATTAGCTTTATAGTTAAGAACAAAAAAAGCTTGAGACTTGCAAGCAATGTATCAAAAATCTTAGGAACCAGGGACAGGCAAAATAGTTCTCTTTTGTGCATCTATCAGCAAATTGTGATGGAGTATTTATTTACCTTTCTTGCCACACTTGTTAATAACTGCTGTTAAGTTAGTAATAGAGTTGTTAAATGAATCTGGCTTCCCCATTGACTTTGCTTGTCAGAAGGTCGTGATTACACGACTCCTGGACATTGCAACTGTTATAAATATAAGCCAGTTGCCAAACATCTGAATTTTGATTGTGTGACCACAGGGATGCTGCAATGGTTATTAAATGTGAACACTGGTTGTAAGTCACATTTTTTCAGTGGCATCGTAGCTTCGGTCACGAAACAAATGGTTGTAGGTTGAGAACTACTTCTATTTACTAAATTTTTATGCTGCCCATGTTGCTGTTATAGGACTTTGGATGACTTACAATCTGATAAAATATTATAAAAGATTAAAGCAATGAGAGAATATATATAACTTAAAATAGTTAAGAGAGTGGTACATCATACAGTGGAAGGGGGATCTTCTATCCAATAATCATGTGCACAATGGCAAGCCCCCATCCAGATACTGTGGTCTAAAACTGTTTCTTTATGTTTTCAGATCTCTGCAGAAGGCCAGGGGATAGCTTGCATTGCCAACATGTTGAACATCACTAGGATCTATAATACCATCTCTGTACTTGAGAAAATGAGAAGGTGATTTTCAGTCCACCCCATGAGAAGTGGAAGCAGTTAGGAAGAACTGGGCAAAATTTGAATCAATTCTATTCTGCTGTTATCTGAAGGATAATTAGGCAAAGCTTAATTGCCATTAACAATATGAAAATGAAGCTTGGAGTCTCCTGTCTTCCAGATTGCTACTTGAATACTCTTGTGCAGTTCAGTTTCCACATTTTCTAACTTTTCCACAGAATTCAGCTTGTGGATCAGTTTTAATTATGCATATTACAGATGTGAGTGGATTTGAGATTTGACCGCTTCACTTATGTGTGGGGCATAATAGAGAAAGGCTATTTTTATTTTAAAACAATTATTGGCCTTAAAGGCTATCATAGAGGCCATGGGAGATATGATGTCACCTGAAAATGTAGGCCATCATACTGACGACCTGAAGTAAAGGAACACTCAGGTGTATTAAGCGTTTTGACATCTTCACGCACCTATCTGTAAATTTTGTTTTAAGCAAAAAAAATATGCCAAGGAAAATACCAATTTTGTTCTCCAATATTGGCAGCATGTTCCTGAGTGGAGGGGTTGTTTCTTTAGTCTACGGCCCGTGAGCCAGATACAGCCCGCCAATGCAAAGTATCCAGCCCTTGAAGTGGTGGGATGAAAAGTAGTTGCCAGCTTGTAAAGAAGTGCTTTAAAAGTTTTTAAAAGTCTTTAAAAACAGCCTTTCAAATGTTTTTCACAGCCATGTGATCCAGGGCTGGTGGATGAGTAGGGAAGGGGCTGCTTTTAAAGTAGTGAGTGAGTGGGTGTCATGTCTCCATGTCAAAATCAGCTGAAATTGGCTATCACTAATTCAAATGCAACTGCAGTATAACGCCTGAAAGAGAATTCATCCACTGCTTTGATTCTTCCCATGTACAAAGTACATCCACCAAATTGGTTGTGGAACAATTTGGGGAGATTTTCATGTGTATATATATATATATACACATACACAATGTGGCAAAAAGTAAATCAGTTTGTCAAATCTCCAGCCTTAAAAAACCTTTAGCCCTGTAATTCCAAATAAGCAGGCCCACACTTCCCATTGAATTAGTAGTATATTTATGTTGGTTAAAATTGTTCTTCATTTTAAATATTGTATTATTTCATGTTTTTTTGCACTACAAAGGAAGATATGTGCAGTGTTTATAGAAATTTGTTCAATTTTTTTTTTCAAACTATAGTCTGAGGGACCATTATCCCTCCTTAATTCACCATTGGAGGCTAGGGGTGTAAAACAACAAACTGTTGTTTTATTCTCTTTTTAATGGCCTATTTTAAGGAGCCTGAATGCTGTTATAATGAAGTTAGGCAAGTGGCAAGAAAGTTTGCTGTTTTTCCCTTGGGGGGGAGGGTGTCTTAACTAAATAGATTCCTTGGGTTGAGCAAGTACAGCAAGGACAAAGGCAAAATGAAC